TCCTTATCCACAATGGTATGCGAGTCTGTATGATCATTTTTGTTATAAATTCGTCTAATCAAACTGATATCCACACATTGATACTCAACTGAACTTTAAATGAACTATACTACGGCAGCAGTATCCGCACGCATCCGAAGAAAAGAGATTATATTTAATATTTTGAGAGGTCACGAAGCAAAACGCGTCATACTTTTAAAAATTCTACTGAAAACCCGTATGCTTACAGCAGATCTGTGACAATGTATTTCCTAGAGCGTCCGCTAAAAAAATATGATCTTAGCTGAGCTTCTAGCTTAAAATAAATCATATCTGATCTGATCTGTAATTAGAATACCATACTTGAAAGAAGCTTGTACTCCGAGTAACCGTCAGACTACACAGATAGTCTGAATATGCCCGTATACATTCCCACATCTGAATGAACGCAGACAAAAAACATACATCAACAGAAAAACTTCCTTTAATTTCTTTTATATCTACTTCCGATAAAGCAAAAATGAATTCGTTGAGTGATGTTTTCCCTCGAATGTACTAAGCAAATATTGTGCCCGTTCAAAAAAGCTGTTCTCACACTTTATTTCAAAATATTTTCTCAGTTCTTAGCTACTGCTAGTTCGTATTCAAACCCATCAGATCTCGGCTGATGACGTTTATTCGATGGATCCCAACGGTTTAAAGCGACTCTTTAGAAGATTTTTCAGTGCAGCGGCTAGTCGCTGCCACGTGTAATCCTATTCTCTCATAAGATAGTCCTCTTTGATTTAGACCCTATTAAATTTAAGGCTGCTCTTACTTCAAAAAATTGTAAGATTTATAACACGAGAATTCTCGATGAACAGCCCCGAACCGACTCTTTGTTATTAACTATTCTTTATTTTTTTACACATAATTGTCTAGCTGAAAGTTTAGAGTCCTATTAGAGTTCATGATTCAGGAAATCTTAGTCTTAGTACACTATTCTCAATACACCTAACTTCCGCATAGATATTTTTTGAAGCGAAATTAGAGTGCGTTTGCAATATTAGCCACCTGTCCTTCGTCAGCGCCCCTGTAGAGCACCACTCATAGTTACTCGTGATCACTCGCTCCATTATTTGAATACATTAAAACAATAGTTAGCTTTTCCGCCTTTATCATAAAGTTCGTCACCTGATTTACAAATATCTTTTTATATTAGTTTTTTCGAATGATGCAGACTATATAGAACTTATACGAGTGAGAGTTCCTAAAAAAAATATGCCGATAATTGAACACTTAGCCAGAATTAAATATAATGAGTGTAGACTTAAATGACGTGAATGCCGGATCGACTAAAACTAGGTTTTGAGTTACAGAATTACTTGCGATGTAGATTCGAATGTTGGCGGGATCCTGAATGCGTTTTTTGCATGATTGCTATCCTATACATTATATTTTTCTCGGGTACATATCTACTTTGCGAACCATATCTAGGAAAGACACTCTACAATAAAGCTGATTTGGCGCAACTCATCAGCTAAGGTCCAACGTACATCATCTAAAAAAGTCACTGATGACACATTAGTATCACAAAATATGTGTGAATTACACATCAATCCTTCGTCACGACATCAGCTAGTACAGAAAGAAATAGAAACATTAAATAACTACTAGTCAAAAAAAGCTTGACAGGCTCATAGCCGAACACTGAAAACATTTAATTGGGTGAACTGACGACCTGGCAAGTACTTGAAATTTTGAGAAATCGACTTCAGATTCAGATTTTCCGGCACCGTCTTACTTTCGCCAACCCTTATAGAATATCGTTATTTTCTCAAAAAACCCTTTCGTTGACCCATAAAATAGAAAAAGTCATATCTGATTGGTCGATTTCTTAGCCAATGGGAAGGCCGAATATAAAATACGACCTCAGATTCGGATTTGCCAACCACAATTGCCTTTGGCGAGACTTAAGAAGGTACGACTAAATAAAGTTCGATTCTGATGCTTTTTTTTGACTTTGACACATACATACATTCATACAAACGCATTTTATTTCATATGACTATTCCTACAGTCGAGGGAACTTGGTTTATCTTCCGTAGCATCAGATGACGATCGTAACAGTGAATCGACGATCATATAGAAATATTGATCAATAAATTAAACATTTATATATAAAAATCGAGAAAAAAATCAATTTCATCATTTAAAATTTTTATACTACTCTGAAATCGTTACTTCAGAAAAAACTCAACAAAACTTCATTCTAATTAAATATTTCCTTAATAATAAAACCTAAAAAAATGATTTTATCATTGTCCAATGAAAAATTCTACTTTAGGAAAATTTCAATTCTACTGGCGGCTAATTGAGTGAAAAGCAAAAGCTAGAAATGTCCGAAAGCAGTTTTAATTCGTCGGTTTCGGTAGCATGGACCATGAGCTAAATCACGAAATATAAATTTTTTCTTAAACTTCTCACCATTTCACCATACTACATTTAAATTACATCATTTTCTGTTTGAATTAATCAAAAACAGAAGTACTTCAAAAATACCTCGAAATAAAATACAAAAAATATACTTTTACATAACTTGGCTTTTATATTAATACAATTGATCATCGTTTTGGTTTCCTCGATACTATGAAACAAAAACAATAAAAAAAACGATTTGGACTCGAATGACGCTGAAAAATGCTTGATGGAAACTAAGGCATCGATTCTGCGTGCCGGGATCAGCTCTATTCTGAAGTAAGAAGGATTATTTGGTGGACTGAGTGATACATTATTGAGTGAATTGACATCCCACATTGTGATCTTCGGATTCACTGATCTTGAGAAATGATTGATGGACCCAAGTCCTTCACTCTCAAGAACGTTAAATCAAACTTTATAACAAATCATTATTTTTGTAAAAAAAAATCTTTTTTAGTAAAAAAAGTTTCATTTGAAAAATATTCAAAAACCAATGGTACCAATCGATTCCTCAACCCCGAAAAACCTTTGGTCAAGCTTTATAGGAGGTAGATGTAGAAAAGAATTGAGCATTAATCTTTCAGACGATGTCTTTTTGACCCTGATGTTCTTTTGACCTTGACACATACATACATTCATACAAACGTATTTTATTTCATATGACCTTCTCTTCAGTCGAGGGGATATACTAGCAAAATTGGATTAATAACTGTAGACAATATGGTACAACTTTCTTCCTACTGTAACGCAAACTGACAAAAGATACCCTAATTGTCTTAATAAGGATAATATATTGTCTTTAGTTAAAATTGACTACTCAGAGGCTTTATGATTATTGAACTTACCATTTTGAATAATTTTGTTATTCAGAGCGTTTCACAATTCCTTATCGATTTCAAGAAACTTGCTTTTCTATTCCTTCAACACAACCTACTGAGATTCTAAATTCATCTCACAAGTGTAATGATGATAATATATTCATCTCTATTAGGATGAATATATATGAAATCTTTTTTTCAGAGCTGTTTTTGCAAGCTTGCTAGAAAACTATAGCCATGACATAGAATCTTAAGATTAGTATAGAATGATAGAAAAGACTTTGAGCTATTGAATGGTAAAAAAAATCACTAAAAAAATTGGACTAATCACTTGAGAATTTATTTTTACTAATGATATCAAAAGTCGCTAGAATTCTAGATTCACTTCAATTGCATCAGCGAGATTACGTAATCGACCCATCAAGGATGAATCAAATACTGCTCAAAGAACACCTTGCAGATAGTTGTACTTAGAAGATCTTGATTTATAAATTTCATCAGCCCATAGAGAAAATATTTTTCAAGGTATTTGTAAAGAAAATTTTTGAAAAAAAAAATGAAAAATAGCAAAGTTGTAGCCAAAATATTGAATCTCATCATTTTTTCTTCTATGATGACCGCCCGGGTACTTTGCTTATTTGATTCTAGAGTTTGTGTTCCTATTGACCTTGTCATATTAAAAGAGCAAAAATCGCTGCTTACATGTGCATATATTCACAGAATAGAAAAAGAAAAATACTATCTCGCATCCGGCCGTATAAAGAAGAGAAAAAGAATACTATCTCGCATCCAGTCATATAAAGGAGAGAAAAAAAGATACCATCTCGCATCTAGCCACATAAAGAAGAGAAAAAGAAATACTACCCCGCATCCAACCACATAAAGGAGAGAAAAAAAAATACTACCCGCATCCCGCCGTATAAAGGAGAGAAAAAAATGTAGCAGCTGTGTAATTGAAAAGACGTGCACAAATGCTTAATGTTTCACCCTTTGAGGACTGACTTTTTTCAATCAAAAAGTAACGATGGATCAGAATAAATGGTCGCGATTTATATTTCCATATTCAATCGTTGACGACGTTGTTTTAAAAAAACAAAATATATCACAAGATGCAGCGTGAAAAGCTCTACAATCTACGAAGTAAAGCTTATTTATATATGCACATTTTGTTTTCAAAATCGACAACATTCTATGCGACCAATTTTCGATGCTGAGAACCAAATCATTTACTGGTACACGATAAATTTCTTTTCTTAATAAATCATATCAAAAAGCTATAGTCGATGGTCAAATTTAGACAATCGATAGTTGTTCCAATTATATGTTCATATTGGTTCTGATATTACTTGTTAGAGTCACATATGAGCTACATAATAACAAGTCACAGTTGTATAAGTGCTGTCAGTTAAGACAAAAAAGAAACACGAAGATCTTCGAAAATCGATCGCATAGAATTTTGTCTATTTTAAAAACGAGAGGTGTATATATAAACTCAGCTTTGTATCGTAAATTACAGAGCTTTTCACACTGTATCTTGTGGTATATTTTGTTTTTTTAATACAATGTATTAAACGATTGAAAATTGAAATCCAAAACGCGACCATTTATTCTGTCTCCCTCGTTAGGTGGTACATATGTATGTACCACCATCTCAAAGAGTTAATAAGAATAAATACATTTTGACAAACTTTCTTTGTAGAGAATATTCGCATCATCTACTCAACAAAGTGAAATTTGATAAAAATGGCTGAGCGTCACAAGGCAACAGTTCAACAATTTGCACAAGCACTCAATGCTCATCATGTTAATGATATTGATAAATTTTTAGAACATTATGTTGAAAAAATTGAACACTCCAAGTTCGCTTATAAAAATATTGACGAAGCAAAAGAATATTATTCAAAGGAGCATGAAGCTCATCCATCGGCTGAATGGAAAATTCTTGATTTTCAACAAGACGATCCATACAATGATACATTATCAGCTCGTGTTTTATATAATAATCATATATACCATACAATTTATACATTTAGTTCAGCAGGAAAAATTGAAAAAATTCATTCCGCTCATGAACACCATCACAATACTCACTAAATATTAATCAAGACATTATTTTTAAAGGACACTATTGTATTGGCACATAAGTTCTGCACGTTTGGAACAATAGAATTATATCGTCAATATAAAACTATATTTTAAAGCAAGCAATTATATATTCTGAGAGCTCTTGAAATGCTCTATCGCCCTGTATATTCAGGTGTTGACTTGAATTTATTTTCTGAGAAATATTTCGAACATTGTCAATGTGGGTGAGGGTGTCTTCACTGTATTCAAAATATTTTTCAGCAAATAAGTTCAAGTCAAGACTTGAATACACAGGGTGATAGAGAATTCTGAGCGATATCAGAATATATAATTTTTTTCCTAAAATGTAGTTTTATATTGGGAATATAATTCTACTGATTCAAACGTGCAGAACTTGTGTTTCAATACACTATATTCATTTCCTACATATTATTCTTTTTTCCAAATAAAAGCTCACTTGTTTTTCTTTAACAGATTAATATCATTTAATATTTCAAATATTGCCTACAGTGAATGTCTAGGATCTATGATACGTTATCTGTCTGCCTGTAACATATTTTTTTAACCACTATACTTTTGTTTGATCTACGATAGGTTTTTATTTTAAAGACGTCCATAGCTTTATAGGGTGTGGGTGGGTGTGGGTATAACGCAAGATCTCAACTAACACCCTACACCCACACCTTCTATGTTAGTTTCGAAGAGTTTGACGATATTCTCTTCAAAAATAATTAATTCTTATATTATTAAAGAAACTGATGAGAAGAACATAACTGATCGAGCATTAATAAACAAGTAAGATTTTCGGCTTCGGCACTTATTGCATTCGGTTGGATCAGATTGAGTACTGCTTTCCAAAGATTGAACCTGAACAGGACTCTAGAAAGAGAAAATAGTAAGATTTGAGAATCTCTACATATTATTTAAATTGTTTATCGATTTGAAGAATTGGAATACTTTTTTCTGTCAGAATAAACAGTGAAAAATAATATTTATCATTTTTTCACTAAATGTTAAAAATGTAAAATCTAAAAAATGGATAAAATAATATTTGAATAATTTGTTTCATCTTTTTGAAGTTGAATCCAACGTTGACTAGCAAAAGCTTGTTGTTTTGTTGATAATAAATTGTTTTTAAATATGTCGAATAAATTTTCCTCGTTTCTAATTGATAATGATAGAAAAATATACATATTTGTAAATCATCATAAGATGATAATGATGATTCTTTTAAATATTTTTCTATATCATCTTTCCATTCATCATCTCTTTTTAACAATTCATCAAGGGGGAACCAGCAGAGACTTCAGCCCTGAAGTCTCATGAAGTCTTGTAAGTCTTTTGAAGTCTTCTGAAGTCTTTTGAAGTCTTTTGAAGTCTTATGAATTATCATAAAGTCTCATAAAGTCTCTGAAGTCTTTGAAGTCTCTTGAAGTCTCATGAAGTTTCATGAAGTCTTTTGAAGTCTCATGAAGTCTCTTGAAGTCTCTTGAAGTCTGATGAAGTCTCTTGAAGTCTCATGAAGTCTCTTG